GTATCAGTACTAACCGAACAGACACCAAAACCACTGGCAATGTGCCAAAACAACATCATGATATCATCGATGAAGTTAAACCTCCTCAGTAATTTTATGTTCCTCAAGATGGTCCCTTTTAATGTGAATGAGATCCAAAAAGTAGTACTTGAAGTAGCTAGAATTCAGTCGGCAGGACTTAAAAGAACTGAACGTAACCATCGGAAGTGCGTAATAGCCCAGGTCTTATAGTGAAATTAATCAATGCATCGGCAGTAATATGCACTTCAAAGGTCATCTAATAAGTTAAAAAGAGCATAGACTGGGGCACAACTGTTCAGCCAAAAGACCAACAATTCAATCCACTGAAAATCTTGAGAAGTCACTTGGGAACTGAAACAATGCTTTGATAGTAATAATAATAGTTTGTTCTCAATAACCATATAATTTACAACGGACGAGCCAATATACAAGCAAGACATTAGTGTTACGTATGATGCGTTATATTACCACCTAACCTAAATCATTCATTTGCGATGAAAATGTTGGCAAAGAAGCAGGATAACGGAACTATTTATCAGACTGAAATGTGTTATGTAAAACGATGGTGTGTTTCGTGAGTGTTACGTTACCAAGGTTCACTGTTGCTGATATATACTGTAAACGACTTCCATCTCTGTAGACTTCAAAAAAGGATAAATAACTGAATCAATTTTAGTATTTCTGGTTACTGATCTGTTGACGGCTCATACAATCAGGCCGTTTATAAAAGAAAGCTATTTCTGAATTGTGAGGTAGGACGTACCCTGAATTCATACTCTGGTTATGTATCTAGACTGACACGTTATGATAATTTATTCAGGGACGATGAGGCGGATATTCCTGAGTGAGTTTCTTTTCAGTTGTATGGTTAACAGATTTTTTAAACTTGATTTCTTTCCTCAGTAGCACTTATCCAGGATTAACGATCTTGCGATTATAGATTAAAGAACTTTGTTAGACTATTTTACACAATAAGTGACCCGAGTATATCTTCGGATCCTCAGAGATCGTCTAACACCTGAAGATGTCTAGTTGAAGCCATCTACATAAAGTCAGATGTTGAAGTTGAGCATGAGAGTCGCTTACTGGACGGAATATCCATCTCTGTTTGTCTCGGATTCACTTACAAACTCATTTTAAACGACTTAAAGTTAACTTCTCCACAAAAAGAGTTGATATTATGAGAAAATACGAAGTTAGCAACTCAGTTATGAGACACCAAGACACTAAGCAGACTATGACTGCATCTTCATGAACGAGAAATTACTGAGCGACAACCTTTCAATCCTGTCTACTCCGAGAAGTGATCACATCTTCATAGTCTTCGCTTGCACCAACAACAGCGAGCCAGTAAATTATACTGAATTTAGGAGTTGGAATTTCAAACAGTTGCGGGTGTCTGTAGTTTTATTTGCTTCTAACCTTTAGAACTTTTAAGCTATACCAACAATAACTGGAAAGAATTACTCTTTTAGTGTAACTTTAGAAGAAGGTCAGAAATGGTGAACACGAGCACATTTATCACCTGACTCAGTCAGGTAGGTATTGGCTTTCTAAGTACCCTGATTTTTGTAATTCATATACCATTGAATCCTCAGCAAAAATTTGCTATTCAAAATTCCTGAAAAGCCTACTGCTGACAGTTATGAAAGGACATTTCAGTATGGACTGTGGTATAACTTCCACATAACTTACGGTAGATTAGGTGGACAAATTATGGCAGATGAGCAGTAGTTAAATAGGTTTATTATCTTAGTAACATAGATAAATACACTAATATCCTATTAAACTGTAATCATATAAGGCTACTTTTGTGTAAGCAGAGTGCTGACTTTGGTAGACAAGTGGGCAACTATCCCTAATTTCAAGGAAGAAGTAGATGTAATAAACCTTGACCTCTCAATAGCTTTTGATGTTGATCATACCCATCCCATTAACAAGCTCAAACTATTGAATGCCAAGTCACTGGTAATTGACTGGTTTAGTTCAAATATTAATAATGGACTTCTTAAGGCTACTGCAAACCAGACGTTTTTTCTCAGGCTACAGAATGTCTTGATTGGGTCTCTTGGGGTTTAAAATAGAGAAATTTTCTGTCGTTAATTTTTATTGGTAACCTTCCTCAGCATGTATTTTTTGAGTTATTACAGAGACGCTGAACTTTGCAGAGGATTTTGCAACCAAGAAACGAAACTCCAGTATTTGGAGCGGTTTGTTTACTCTGAGCTGGCTCTCAGGTAGGATACGCAAGGACTTGAAGATTAGTTTTTCACTGCTGTCATAGATTGACCCAGAAGAGGCGAAATTAAAATTTTATCACTAAATGGAGGTTTTTAGTTTGAACAAAGTTTTTGATAAAGGACAGTAGGACAAGACTGCGCGCTGCTTGGAAATAATCGCACCCCGGCAAAACCGTGCTGCCTGTATAAAAGCTAACATAGGACATATTAGATACATCGAGTCACTTCCAAGCAAACATCCTGCCAGAAACCACCACCCGCTCTTCGAGTTAGGCTAAAAACTGCAAATCAAAAGGCGAAAACCGAGACACATCCCTAATTTTTCTCACTCAGAGTTGTTTCCATGTGGAATGCTCTCTTAGCCGTGCCAGACGCGTGGCTCATAACTTGTGTGGGGTTATTGCGACTTCATTTGGACAACTTATTATCGCTTAGTTGTTATCGTTTTGGCTTCCCCTTTTAACAGTTCGATCCACTCACACTGTCTGCACCATCGACTGGTTAACTTACTTATGTGTTTAGTTCTTGAAGTTGTCGTCACTTCGCATGAGCATTTCCTTCTAGTTTTGTTCACATTGAAAACAACACGCCCTCTCTCTGGTAATGTGATGGCTGTTAGTATCTAGAAACGCTACTGGCCTGCGAAGAAAGCACTCGTTCACGTTACATGATAAACTCATAGGTACTCACTGAAATGACTAGAACTAGTGCATCCGAGTGTCTAAGCTACCAGCCATTGTACAACACCAAAAACCCCAAATGTCGCCCGAAAAAGAAAAAAATGAGCATGACGAAAGCAATCCGCTTATGCTAGCTCATGGAGGGGATACTGAATGTTGAAACCCAAACATATAGACTATCGCCCATGCCGAACTAAATTTTCAGCTTAAGAACCAGATAGTAATTATTATCCATGGTCCGGGAAGCTTGCTCCGAACTAAAGTAGTGGTATTTTAAGAAGACGAGATACCATGAGTAATATCATTTATTTTGAATGAATCTGTGCTTTTAGATGGGTCTGAAGATCATAATTTTAACTGAAACATGGCTATCTCCTGACGTTGTGGACGATGAAGTGAGCTTACAAGGTATGATACTCTTCTGAAGCGATAGGTTGCACCGAACAGGAGGCGGAGTGGTTATATACATAAACAGCCATTTAAAAGACTCGACACCCAACCAACTGAGGTGAAAGTATCATTTTGGTAAGAAATACTTGATTGGAGGGATTTAACGGCTTTCCTCAGGTACCAAGGCCGAGAAAGATAAATTAACTGAGGCAATACTGCAACTGCCATTCCTCGGGTTTGATTAAATACTCTGAGCTGAAGATTTCAACACTCCAACTCAAAATCTCAGCAATCAGGGTACAACTCCTTATGTTTGGTTTCAAAGATGACTTGCCGCAGACATCAGAGGCTCTGAACCGACTGAGCATGTATGCAGTGCCACTAGATGGACTAAGGAAGGGAAGTCCTCAAACCTGGATTACTTGTTAACAAATGATCAGCTCCTGGTCGGGGATGTTCATGTTCATACACCAATAGGAGGTAGTGACCATGGCACAGTCTCACTCCACATGTTCATAAAGGAAACACTTAGGCAGGACGAAAATGAGCCCCACCTTCTATATACTGAGGCAAATTACGCTCACATGAGAAAGAATCTTCTTCGTGATCCATGGCCACGGGAATGGCAGAGGCTGACAGTAGATGATCGCTGGAAAACAGTGAGAAACATCGTTCAAAATGCTGTTATTTGCAATGTACCTCAGTCACACCACACACCCGGAAATAAAAGAAATAGAAAAGAGGAACACGAGTTAGGCGCTTCACTGAACGCTTGCTGCAGGCAAAGAGGAGAGCCTGACATAAGTGGAAGGTCTGTTTGAAGGATTCCGACCGTAGTTCTTACTTGATATAGGGAAACAGATGTCATGAGAAAGTTCTAAGTGGTAGGTAGTCCTCGAATAATCGAATAGCGAATACTCAGGTTTGTGCACACTTCTCATTAAGATTTGTTGCAACTTGGAATGCTCTCCCAGCAGAAGTGACCACAGCCGCCTCAATGGACAGCTCTAAGAAGAGACTTGATAAACACGTACTCACGAATGGATTATCATCCTCCTTGCGGACAAGCTGTGCCTAATGCACGCCTTGAGACCTACTGGTTGTTACTGTTGCTATCTCCTCAGATCGCTAGCTTAATCTATCTCACTTATTATCTCTGTTTCCTCTCCCTTATTTACACTCCGGTTCTCTCGAATAATATTCGCTACTAACTAATAAAGTAGATTACGTATTTATTTACTAAGTTCTGAGATCTTCTTATTATCATTAGAATTTCCCCCCTATTATTCTGCACACTGCAACTAACTGATCTCCGACCTGTTAATGTGATAGCTAATGGTATCCAGAAAACCTACAGCCCTGAAACAAAAGTTTCATTCAAATGACGGGACATACAAACTCACCAACAACTTCTAAGTGACAAAAATTAAGCAGTCGAGTGGATAGACTCCCATCCACTGGATAACACCAAATACCTGGAGCCGTAACGAAAGAACAAGAATCGAGCGCAAAGAAATCGTAAAACGGATATTGGATATTGAAAACACCAAAGAACTTATTGACTTGTCAGTTTATTACATAAAATTTTAATGTTTAATCTTTAATGCTCAATTATTTTGTAAGCTCGTCAACCTTATGTTGGACTGTGTATTGTCACTGGAAGTCGTACTTTCTATACTGCTTTGTAAGGTCAATATGATTCATTTAGCTCAACTGTTCGCGCTCTATTTCACATACACCATGAGCTATCACTTGTGATGGGTCTTGAAGAAAGTAAAATTGGTCAAACAAGTAAAGCTAACTGTAATACACCTAATTTGTGTCTCTTCGCACCTGTCTCACCTGGAAGAATAATTCACCAATGCACTCTAGAACTATGGAGAAAATCTCACCGAGGTATCGTGAATTACATTTTCCTTATACGGCATGTTTAGAGCTTTTCAACTTTTCAGATAAGGTGATGGTGTGTACTTATCAAGTTCCACATGATTGCTCGTCGGCATTTTGCCTTACTAGGCAAAATATAGTAAACTTCCGAAAATCTTGTTCTGTTTTCTCACTGAGGAAGCGCAGAGAATATACAAAAATGGCTGAGCATTTTGAATATAATCACATTCCTGCTCATTTATCATCTATACAGGTAATTGAAATCAAGTTGATAACTACTTTTAGAATTTGCACTTCAAATCAGTGTTGGACATTCACAGTGGATTAGCAGTTGTTCATTTGGCACGCGATATGATAACTCAATTTGCATTAGTCGACTTGCGGATTAATAAATTTCTTGGCTCTTTTGGTCGGCAAACGGTTCTCTTTAGTCCTGAATCAACTATAGGAAAAATATCACCGGATGGAACTTACTGTCTGATTAGACTCCCTTGGTCGAGAAATAGGAGAGTTTATATACTCAAGGTATGCGATCATTTAAATTTTTTTTATCTTTGTAGTTTTTTTGATTGAGTAAGGTTCATTTTGATCCGCAATTCTTTCTATTTTATATTTTCTGGATAATTTAAATTGGCTTCTCATTGTTGTCTCACAGAACACAATAAAGATAAGCTTTTAACACTGACATTTTGACAAATATAAGTGTATATTTTTGATAAGAAGTGAGAATTTATTGGCATCTCTATTTTCAAACGGGGAAGTCGAAACTTACGAGAGCATTCATATACTGGCGATTATATAGATTGCTTAGTCAATACTTAATTAGTAACAGAAAATAAACACAGGATTCTTTTATAGACCGAAGTTTCTTTTCTATTTTAGTTATAAGTCACTCAGTCACTTACAACATAGAACTTCGCACGTGCGTATATCAGTTCAAGTCGCCATACCACATTAGCACAGAGATATCGAGTTGTCAATTCAAATCCCATAGTAGTAGAAGTGGTAGTGTAGTGAAGGAGAACACAGGTGAGGGCAACCAAATTTTATTTATCACAAATTACAGAGTTACTCAGTAAAATAAGAAAACCATATCGTAAACGGTTAATTTGCAAATCTTCAATCCATCATCAATCGATTGTCTGACATTTCACTATTCATGCGTTTCATACAGATTCCATTGTTTTCTAACTCTTCCTCTCTTCATCTTCCCCCATCTTCTGCTGCCAGACATTACGTTTTCACTCGCGTCATATACTACTTATAAGTAACGCACACCACACTCGTACCCCCTTTTAATAAGCTGTCGTCGTAGTCTTTCTGATCGCCATATCGCTGTCTTCTTTGGTGCTTTCCGTGACTGACACACCTGATAATCTTGAAACCACCTCTGCAGTTGACTGGCATTTACACGCTTATGCTTGTCTTCTCTCCGGATCGTGTACACCGCGCCGCGTCTCTCCGTGATAACGTATGGTCCGTCCCACTTTGGGATCAGTTTTCCCCACCCTGATACCCCTGCTATGCTACTTTTTTGTTCTCTACACTTTACTAGGTCCCCCACTGCAAAAGGTTTCCACGTTCTCCTCTGTTGTTCCGCCTTCTTTATGTCTGATATTTGCTTCTTTCCCACGTTCCTGATTGCCTCCCGCCTTTCTTTCCTTAACCTTGTTGTTGTCGATTTTTGTTGTTGTGGCCATGTCTTATTGTGTAATGGAAGTCGCGGTTTTCTGCCATACATGAGCGAGGCGGGTGATTTCTTGGTTGTTCCTTTTATGGAGGAACGATGCGCCAGCAAAATCAATGGTAACTCTTTCTCCCAATCTCCTCCTTTAGATGCTAACCATTCCTTTAACGTCCGGTTATTTCTCTCTGTAAGCCTGTTTGTCTGAGGATGATACGGTGTAGTTCGTATCCTCTTGATGCCAAACTGTTTTAAACGGTCTTTAAACTCGTCACTTTCAAAACAGGGACCCTGGTCAGTTAATATCATTTTCGGTATTCCGTGGCACGCTACAATATGCCGGATCACCACTTCGGTCACTGTTCTTGCCCGCTGGTCTGCAATGGGTACGGCATCTATCCAACGTGTAGCATGCTCCGTCATCACTAGCAGGTACCGGTTACCGGTCGCCGTCTGTGGAAACGGTCCCATTATATCCACCGACCATAGATCACCGACTGCGGTTACTGGGATCGACTGTAACGGCGGTTGTGTGTATCTATCGCTCTTCATTAGTTGACACTGCTGGCAAGTTAACACGTATTAAGCCACATCGTCTCTCATGCCCGGCCAGTATGCACTTTTTTGTTATAAATCCGTCGTTCTTGCGATGCCTGTATGTGCTACCTGGTGACACTCGTGTATCATCTTACGCCGCCGGTCTTTTGGGATTACAGCCACCCAATTCTTGTCATCGTCCTGCCAGGTCAAGACTCCATATGCGTTCACTCTCAGTCGTTCCTTTTGCCGAAGTAACATTATTACCTCCTTGTCCGTCGTTCGTTTGTCTACGTCTGCTCCTTCTCTTATCACTCTGATTACCTCTCGAAGGTTCGGGTCAGCTTTCTGTTGCCGGATGAGTTCTAATGGGTCTCCCTCTAAACTACTCACCGCGTATGCTGTCACTGGAAGGTCAGCTTCCATGTCTGATCTTGACAAGTAATCTGCCATTACGTTTTCCTTTCCTGGAACATGGCCGATACTGAAGTCGTATTCTTACAGACATATCATCCACCGCCCCAACTTCCCTTGGGGGTCTCTTGCTGTTCTCAACCACTGCAGGGGTTTATGGTCCGTCTCAATGTGAAATCGTCTACCTAAAAGGTACGGTCTCCATTTTTCTACTGCCCACACGATTGCTAGGCACTCCTGTTCGATCGTTGAATACTTCTGCTCGGCGGGTGTGAGAAAACCACTTGCGTATTCCACCACTCTATCAGCCTGACTCAATACCGCACCTATACCATGATCACTTGCATCTGTGGCCACTGTAAACAGTTTTCCGGGTTCAGGCAGTCGCAGCGTCATCTGACGATCGTCTAGCATGTTTTTGATTCGGCTGAACGTTTGTTCGGCAGCCTCAGTCCATGTAAACTTGGTGTTGCTCAGCAACTTATATAAGGGCGCTGCTATTTTGTTGAAATTCTTGACAAACCGACTATAGAACGCCGCTCTTCCCAGAAACTGTCTCAACTTCCTTTTCGAATTAGGTACTGCAATATTTTTTATGGTAAGAATTTTCTCTGGTAATGGCTTTATTTCTCCATTTCCCACTCTATGTCCCAACAATATGACGCTGTTTTTCGCTATCTGCGACTTTTCCTTATTAATTCAAAGCCCAAATTCGTCAATTCGCTTTAGGACTGCTTCAACATTCTTGAAGTGATCTGTTTCCGTCAGGCTGTATACAACTACATCGTCGCCATATACCTCAACATTATCTAGATTCTTAAGCAGCAGCGTCATCAATCTTCTGAACGTGAACGGTGCACCCGCCAACCCGAACGGCATTCGTTTAAATTGATACTGTTTATCCCGTATAGTAAATGCTGTCTTGTTGCGATCACTATCTTTTATAGGTAGTTGCCAATAACCTGACCGTAAATCAAGCACTGTAAACACCGTGGCATTCTGTAGCCGATCTAATGTTTCTACTACTGTTGGCATTGCGCATGGTTTCAGGTCTGTTATATTATTCAGTTCTCTAAAGTCGACGCAAAATCTATACTTTCCATTGGGTTTCTTTACCAAGAGTACCGGTGAGCTATACGGGCTGTCTGCTTCCTCAATTATACCTTCCTTCAACATTTCCTGGACCTGTCGATTTACCTTGGCCTCTAAATGCACCGGGACACGACGTGTTGCAAATATATTTACTCGGTCGTTCTTTATAGGAATTTCATGCTTTACTTTGTCACAAAATCCATACGGCTCCCCATCTCCAGTGAAAAGTTTCGCAAACTTTGCGCATAACTCGTTAATGTTTGGTTTCTTGGTCGAGACGTCCGTCGTCATCCTTATTTCAGCCACTTCGCTACTTTCGTGTATTGGCAATGAACCGTACTTTGTGACCATTTTACCACTTCTCAAGTCAATTATCGCTTTTACCTCTCTTAGGAAATCTGCTCCTAATATCGGTCTCGATAAGCTTGTGGTTACCACGAACGGAAAATTTATCTCAGCTCCACTCATTTTTACGATACTGTTAGATACCCCCAACACCTCTAGCATGTGCCCTCCAATGGTGTGAACCGCTAATGTACATGGTTTGATTGTCTTGTATTGTTCTTTGCCTATTAACGATATAGCTGATCGTCGTCGTCGTCTTCTTGGACAGTTTATCTTCCAATGTCCTGCCCCTCCACAAGCGTAACATTTATCGTTCCTTTTATGATCCACTCGTAATGCTGCAACCTTACGCTCCAGCTCCTCAATCTTCTTCTCAACAGTATTTATCTCCTGCTTTCCGCACCCGACCGGAGCTACTGTTCGTGTCATCAGCTGACGAGTCACCTTCGCCAGTTCACCGATATCCATAGGTCGCGCTGCGTTTACTAGTCTCAGCTGCTGGGACAAGGCGGCAGGCACACTCTTGATAAACTGCGACGTCAACAACTGTGCCTCTGGCTCCTCATCGATATTCGGGAGAGCACGGCGCAACAATCTGGTGAGCTCTACAGCAAGCACCAACGGGTCACCATCAGCCGACAGCCTCGCCAACCGGAACTCCTGCAGCGCTTTCTCCCTGTCCACTGGGCTGTCGAACTCCGTCATCAGCCGCCCGGTGACCGTCTCCCACGTCGTCTCCCCGCGGACCCCAACCAGGTAGTCTACACTTATCAATATGACTCAGTCTAGTTGTCAGTGACTTCATGGATTTGTGCCATGTTTTGGTTTGGTCGCCCCTAGGTTTCTTCCAACCTACTACCTCATCGGAGCCTCTTCACCAATGGCTGATAGCGATATGATCTTGTTAGATCCGTCGTTGAGTCGGCTTGGGGGGGTCGCCAGGTCAGAAGATGTTTTTCCTTATGCTTAAAGTTAGTGTTTTCTAGAAGTATGCGATTATCTGAGCATAGCTGCAGCAGACAGTCGCCATTATCTGTTCGATTAGCCGCCACACCATAACATCCACCCAGATGTATTTTCTTTTCACTGAGTCTACTCACTTGAGCGTTAAAGTCACCAGCCATTATTACTATATCATATTGCCTAAATATTTGGAGGAGGTTCGAAATCTTCCTCTAGAACTCATCTTACACCTCGTCTGAACTTCAGTTGGTGGCAGATACGACGAAGAGGCAACGACAAGTGTCCCTTTCTTTCTGAGTCCGTACCGCCCCGGACAGCGCATAAGCTACTGTCTACCGGGATCCAGTCTAAGAGAGCTAGTTCTGCACTAGGACTTAATCCTATACCAACACTAGCGAGGCCATGGGCAGCAGCATCAGGGCTTACAGAAACAGGAAGCGTAAACCGTGTTGTTTCTGTATCTGCACTAGGTGAAATCGAATCGACTATTTTACTCGAATCTTGTATGCGCGTTTTGTAGACGAAACATACGTCAATCGCACGAGATTCCAGAGTTATAGGTAGTGAAGCCTGTTGACCTTTATGGCACAAGGTTCGAACATTGAAAGCTTCAAAATGTAGTTTAGAGTGGGGTTTCAGGAAACCAGGAATAACGTTCCGTGAGTTCAAACCATTTGCTTCAGTGGCGCAGGATCACAAACGATCGAAAAAAAGGTTGGTCGTGTAGATAAGAGAGTTACTAGGAGGTATAGAAAGGATTTGATTGTGACCGATTTGGTCTTGTGTGCTTTTATGGGTATGAGGGTGGATGTTAATTCTCGTCTACCCACACCAAGGAAGGGCTCTGGTTGTCAGAAAGGGCACCGGCCTCGTGACTTCCTAAGGAACTGTGTTTTCATCATGAGAAGTCATAACTGTTCTAAACAAAGACCTTCTAACTCCTAGAGCAGGGTTTAAATGGTTTGAATTATTTTTTATTGTTGTGTTATGACACAGTTTGTGCTGTATACCTAACAATGGAGATAAAACTCTTCGTATTGTGCCTCTCCATGGAAGTCTTTAGTAAAAGGTGAAAGATTTATTCTCAAACGAGGAGACACTTTTCCTAGAGCCCTTCTGTGGTTACTGCCGGTCCCAAGCACGGACATAGAGGAGGGTTAGGCACGGGGTGAGCAACCCTATTCCGGAGAAATCCAACTTGCTAAAAAGCGCTCACTAGAAAAAGTAATCCACTAGTCGGTAGCCTATATTCCATTAGGGGTAACAGGCATAAGTAAGTAAGCAGTTAACCTAAAGATCGCATCATGAGTAATAATTTCATAGTTCAAGATAATTTTCAGGAGTAGACCTTTAACCAGGTAGCTCAGAATATGCCGATGACATTGTCTTACTTGGTGAAGACGCTGACAGAATGCAGAGTCTTCTGACAACCCTAAGAAACAATGCAAGCATGTTCAGGATGCGGTTTTTCCCCTCGAAATGCAAAATGTTGCTTCAAGACTGGGTTGCATCGGCACCTGGACTAGTGATAGGGAGTGAGGTAGTCGAGCGTGTTGACCGCTTCACTTATCTTGGGAGTCTCATCAGTTTATGGCGTAGGCGAGATATCCGTTTGCTGACTAAAGGACGAGTGTACTGCGCAGTAGTTCGCTCCGTCTTACTTTATGGCTGTGAAACATGGCCAATGAGAGTAGAAGATACTCGTCGGTTATTGGTTTTCGATCATAGGTGTCTTCGAAGCATTGCTCATATATCGTGGGACACCCGAGTGAGCAACGCTGTTATTAGGAAACGGGTACTAAGTAAGAATGGCAGATCAATAGATGAAGTGGTGAAACTTCATCAGTTGAGGTGGTTGGGACATGTGTTGCGTATGCCGAACCACCGACTGCCTTGAAGAGCTTTGTTTTGTAGTGTAGGAGTAGGTTAGAAGAAAGTTAGGGGCGGCCAAACCAAAACATGGTAGAAATTCATTAAGTCACTGACGAGTGGACTGAGCCATGTCAGTAATTGTCGACTACCTGGTTGGGGTCCGCGAGATGATAATAATCGATGGTTAGGGACCTTGAATGACATGGCTCAAAATCGTTCGCAATGGCGCCGGTGCATTTATTCTTTGTGTTCTCTGAAATCCTAATCTTCTGGATTCTTCAACACCTCTAGTTTTGACTTTCTAAACTTTTCTCACTGAATTATACTTCTTGAATAATATCTTCTAATCGTAACCTCTCCGACCACTTCTAATACCTTTACTACCTCTTCTACTATTGGATTTGAATTGACAATTACATCTCTGTGCTGATGTGGTATGGCAGCATGAACTGATGTACTTACGTACAAAGTTCTACGTCGCATCTGACTGACTGACTGACTGAGTTCAAGATAAAAGTATCAAGTAACTTACTCAAACAGATGGATGATATTTAGATGTAGTTTTGAGTAAGGATGGTAGTGCAAATTATGAGGTTATGAATTTGTGATGACTGGGTAATACATAATGTTGAATTTCTCTTCAGATCAACGTACAATAAAAGTGAGAATAACGACCATATAGTATTTTTTTACTTACATTTCAGCTGTACAACTTACGAAATAGTGAACTTATCTCTGAACTTCCATTAGCTAATTCTTCGAATTACGATGACTTATCATCGAATAGTTCCCGTCTGCCATTGGCTCCATATCAAGAACATAATAGAGAGTCAAATATTCGATCTTCGTACGATGTTTTATCATCTAGCTCAGTAACTACTGACTTCAAAGGGAATGTACAAAATGAGAATCAACTACAACTAGGTCCAGCTCGTTCTTCTCAAGTGTTGTTTGCTTTCGATCCACGATTTGTGAATTCACGCATAGCAATAACGAATGTAGACTTTCCACACGGACTTAACTCTCACAAATTGTCTTCCAATTGGGTCCCAGGAATACAGGCTACCATAAGTTTGGTAAAACTACCAACATGGGAGTGTTTGACATCAACTAACAAACTTTGTTCATGGTCACCCTCAAATCGTCATGGATCGCCTTTAATAAACAATACTACATGTAGAGAGCCAACAAGACGAAGACGATCATCGGATGCTAATCATATAGGAGGTTTTCCTAGTCCAAATTCATTCAACCATGCCTTTCCACATATTATGAGCATATTTTATTCAAGAGATGGTTATTTTCTATTTACAATCACAACAGAGTCTCGAACATGTCGATGTTCTATCATTAGTAACAATAATCATTCTATGAATTCATTATCATCAGATGTATCCAGTTACGCTGATGATATTTACAATCCTTTAAGTTCAAGTCGATCAACAAACAGCGCAACTGAAAATAGTCGAACGCAGCAAAAAACCATGGGTTCGACACAGTGTACTGAATTAAATCCACGTTACAGCTCCAAGAATAATAGTACATCCCCAATGTTGGCTCCTACACTGCCTGGTTGCACCACTTTATGGCTTACTATTTTCAATTCCGACACATTAGAAAGGTTAAGAATTTTAAGGTTTGATCGATCAATATGTCCTATTCATACATGTCCTACCAATTATCTACCAGTAATGAGCCGTTGTGGATCAAGGATAGCTTTAATTACACGACAAGCTGTAGGATATTATAACAGTAATAGTAATCAGAATACCAGTAATAATTCACGTGAATATTTGTTTCCCAGTTGTAAAACGCTTCCTGTCTCTTTAAGGCACTCCATTCCATCTATCAGTGTAGAAGGTTGTTCTGATTCACAATGGACTATTCATAAAGGTGCTAGTCAAGAAATCAGCAAAGAAAATTCTACAAAGCGAGTAAGTCAACCATTATTGTTTTTTTTGTTATTTGTGTATTTTTCACTAATAAATCGATATATTTGTCATGAACTGAATCTCACAACTGTTATTATTGTACGCAAGGTTTAGTTACTTTGTAGTAATATAAAATCTTTGATAATGTTATTGCATTTATCTATGTAAAGTGATATTTTCGTAGTTTTTTAAAATAGTAGCACTGATCTATCGATTCTGCAAATTGACACTTTATGCCTCTGAAATTTTCTATGGTGGCTGGATAATAGTTCATTCTAATGAATTGTAAATCATTTATAGACTGTCATCTTTACCTTGTTTTAAATTTCTTGGATAATCTATGTCGAATTTACTACCTCAGTGATTTATCATATAATGATATTAGTAAAACCTACACTAATATATTTTGTTCTGTGCACCTAGAAAAATGTGTCCAGCCCGAACACGAGTTCAACCGTATAGAGAGAGCTAGTTAAGCCTCAGGTAATATTCAAGATTAATGATTGTAGATGTTAAATGATGGGGCTCAAAATTAACGACAGGAAAGAAGTAGCATTTATGTCTTATCTCATTGAATTTTCATCCTTCCATCTCTCTCTTTTTTCAAACTATATTTTTCAATGCTCATTTTGATTTCCATCATATGAAAAGTAACAACTTAATTTTATAAACATCCTAGGCCTAGATGAAAGCAGATGGGTCGGGAATCGATAAAAACAGTGTTTGACAGAATTCAGTACTGACAAGAAACGAGAGGTTGGTAGTTAGATGACAATTCGGAACAACGCTGTCTGTTGAGTTTTTAGGATCTTATGAAAAGTTTTACTTACTTACTTACTTACACCTGTTACCCCCAAATGGAGCATAGGCCACCGACCAGTATTTTCCAATCTACTCTGTCCTGGTCTGCATTAATAACTTGAATATCGCCATACATGCAAACCCTTAAATACATCATGAAAGACTGTGTAAGATAACCATTTAGAATAATGAGAACCTGTTGCAGTAAGCTATGTGTCGGATAAACTTGAAGCATATCCGTGCCGAAAGTTTTACAGAATTAGGAACGCTCAAATAATGTCAATCAAAACCTGAACAAAAATTTCAGTCAAAAATAATTTTAAAATGTTGTAAACATCAGTGAATCAAGATTAAGTTAATTAATTAAAACAAACGGTACAAGATTGTAATTTTCTGTATAAAAACTGATAGAGGAACTATAGAGGAATCATGATTATTTATACTCTTATTTATCGACACTAGAAACAGCAATAGAGATTGAAGTAGGTTTATTTCAAGAAAATTGCAATTATTAATTGACAAACTTACTTACTAACACCTATTACCCCTAATGGTAAGTAAGTAAGTTGCAACGTAGAACTACGTACGTATGTACATAAGTTCATGTTGCCATACCACATTAGCACAAAGACGCAGATGTCAAATCAAATCCCATAGTGATAAAGATAATAGAGGTATTAATGGTAATGAAGAAGACTAGGGTTCGAAGACATTATTCAAGAAGTATAATTCAGTGAAATAAGGTTAGAAAGACAAAGGTAGAGGTGTTGACGAATCCAGAAGATTAGGATTTGAGAGAGCTCAAAGAATGGATGCACTTGTGCCATTGCAAACGATTCTGTGCCATGTCGTTCAAGGTCTCTAACCATTGGTGACTTTCGTCTTGCAGACCCCAACCAGGTAGCCTACATCTACCAACATGACTCAGTTCACTTGTCAGTGACTTCATGGATTTGTGCCAAGTTTTGGTCTGGCCGCCCCTAACTTTCTTCCAACCTACTCCTACACCACAAATCATAGCTCGTTACACCTAAGAGAACATAGGCCATAGACCAGCAAATTATTCTCTCTGGTTAGCTGTATTTTTAGCGAGTTGGATTTCTACAGGATTGGGTCGCTAGGCATATACCAAACCGTTCTTTGTTCGTGCTTTGGACGACCGGCATTAACGCCAGAAGAGCTCAAGGCGGAGTCAATCAACCAACTAATCATTATAATTTAGTTGTATATATGAATGTATTTGACTATAATTAATATCTTAGGCTCTTGTTTGATCATTTTTTATTTTATTTTTCGCTTCTAATCCCTTTGAATTTTATGACAATTACTTTTTTTTTATATGACTAAAATTTTAATTCTATTAATCCTTTCATATTTGTCGTTAATTCTGTGTCTTCGATTACGCAACTACACACTTCATTTCATTCGCATGATATTATTACTATTATTCTGTTATTAGTAGGATCAAAGTTGTCTAAAACGTTTTTTTTGAAGTTTATAAATATTCGTAAAACCATTTATTTTCAACTTCTTCAACTTTTTTAATCGGCTGTGTTTTGCTGTACCCTAAATTTTTAACTTCTATGTAAGCATGCAACACAACATGCACCAACCAAATCACTCTTGATGGAGATGCCTTGGAGGACGTTAACAACTTTACATATCTGGGCAGCAGCATCGACGAGAAAGGTGGATCCGATGCAGATAT